TCTTAATCAGGATATTAATAAGGAACTAGCAGTTTATGAAGCTTTTGGAATAATCCACCAATTTTTTAAAATTAAACACTATCTAAAGATTTGCATCGAAGCGTTTTTTTTTGATAGTGATTTTAATCACTGTCAGATATCATTATACTTGATCCAACTATGCCACGTCACCACTGTGCCGCGACCCCCCTGTGCTGGGTTTTTTTTTTTTTATTTTATATATACATAGAAAACATGAAGATCTAATTGTAGAAAATGAACCCAGTAATTTTGAAGATGAAGTTGTCAAAGCAATTGAACCTGAAGAAACAACTTTATTAGTTAGGTGTGCAGCTCACACATTAAACCGTTGCATTGAAGATGAGCTTAAAATTTCAGTTATTCAACAAGTTTTAAGTCGTGCAAGACATGTAATTACAAAATCTATTAATATCTAATAGTATTTTATTTTAAAATATTATACCTCACAATTTAATCTATAAAATGTTTTTCAAATAATTACAAATGATTCAAATAAGTGTTGAAATATTTTACTGCTAATATTTATTTACTGTATATTTTGTTTGTATTTTATAGGTAGTAAAAAAATTAAGGACCCCAACTAATGCTGGATTATTAAAACGAAATAACTTGAAACTGGCAATAATTGATGTTGAAACAAGATGGTCATCTACATATGATATGCTTGAAAGACTTTTAAAATTGAAAAGTTTTTGTCAAAAGTACGAAGAAACAATGCCAGATTTAAAAGTATCTAGAGAAGATTGGGATAAAATAGCTTCTATGGTTTGTTCATTTTTAAATAAAATTTTTAATACTTTGTATATTCTTGTAATTGTTAATTTTTTAAAAATATATACCTCTGTTGTTATAGGTTATATCTCTTGAGCCTTCTAAAATTGGAATNAGGTTATATCTTTTGAGCCTTCTAAAATTGGAATTGTCATGTTGCAAAGAAGTGATATAATTATGGGAGACTTTTTTGCTTGTTTGTGGAACATTATGGCTAAATTAGAAATTATTAATACTAGTTTGAGTAATGCTATAAAAAATTCTATGAAGATAAGAGGAAAAAATTTACTAAAATTCAATTTTTTTGGCAGGTTTGTTTACATATTTTGTATTATTATTGCTTATGTATAAAAAAAATTTAATTTAATTTTTTTACAGCAAACTATTTAGATTCTAGATTTCAAAGTACTTTATCAGAAGATAATAGAATTGAAGCAAAATCTCATTTAATAAAAACTTGGAATACTATGAAAAACCTGACTTCACAAGATTCAGAAATGAATGAAAACAATATATCTGACATAGAAACAAACAATTTTGAAAATGTTGATGATCCACTTGAACAGTTTTTAAAATCACAAAGTGGAACTACAACTAATTTAATACCTCTACCTGGAAGCGACAAATGTTCTATTAGTTTTAATTGAAGAATTTGATAATAGTTGTAGATTACATCATAAAACTGATATTAAACAATTTTGGTTAAATGCAAAGAAGCTAGAATTATTTAAGTTAGCGCAAGTTGCAATGGCTGTTCCATGCACACAGGTAATACTTATTAAACTTATTATACTCATTAAAATTATTGGTTCAGGTCAAGAAATCATTCATTAAGAAGGTAGAGCTGAAATATTTATACTTGAATTCTTATTTATGTACTTATTTTAGTTTCATTAGTAATCGGTAAAGTCAATAATCATTTTATTTGAAAGTCATTGTGTTATATGTTTCACTATTTAAAATATTATAAATATAACATGGGTAATACTAGATTTAATGATTTAAGGACATCGATTTCATCATTATTGCTTGATGAAATTATGATTATTAGAGCAACCAAAAAATATTTCAGTAAGCTTGTAAATAAAAAATCTGTTTATAATAAATAAAAGTAAATCAGTTTTGTTAAATGTTTTTATTCCTTATTATCTTCAATACAGTAAAATTTGAATACTTTTTTTAATACTATTTGAAATTTCAATTCTATATATATTTTTTATTATTAGTATTTTGTTCATCACTTAATTTTAGGAATAAATATTGACGTCAATGTAAGGAACCCGTTCCTCTTGCTACACTGACTACGACACTGCCTAATCGTTCTTTCTGTAAAAACACCCAAGCTTAACGTATTCCATCATTAAAAAAAAAGTATTTCAACGGTTAAAAATCGGTATTAAACGATTAATGGTTACCTTTAAAAATTAAAACCGATTATTAAGTGATAAGCGGTTAACAATAAATATGA